TCACCTGTCCTCTCCACGCTAAGCAAACAGGAAATGAAATTCAAACATTCGCGGGTCTTTTCCTGTCTACCTGGTCAGTGCATCTGAGTTGAGAGTGCTGTCCAGAGCGGTCACAATGAAGCACTGTGGGATAGCTCCCGGAGGCCAATAATGTCGAATTCCGTCCACACTACCCCAATTCCGACCCGCAAAGGCCGGTTTTATCGCTAATCCCCTTGTCGGAGGTGGTGTAAAGAAACCGTTTTAAAGGACCCTTTAAGTCGAAAGAAAGGGCTTCGTCGTGTGGACGTGTCCAGGCTTAATTCGATTTAACGCTGCTAAAGTCGACCTAAACCCGTAGTGTAGACCAGGCCTAAGTGTCAAATGAAATGCTCCAAATCACACAAGCTGGCTGACTCTGAGATTTGGAACACTCCAGCCCCTAATAGAGGGCAAAATTTCAGTGTGGAGGTGCCAAGTCAGACCCCAGCGCAAAGACAGCCGGAACCCAAGTTCATCGCTGAAGGGTAGTTGAGAAATTGGAGGTTTCTGTGGAGGTTTTCAGGGTCACTGAAGTTTGTCACGCTGGAGAATGTACAAAATTGCTGTTGGTTGTGGGTGGCTTAGGGGTTGAATGTCTGACACTTAGGAATGAATGTAATTCTCTCTAAATGCCTGCCGTGAACACAATTCTACAGTATTCAAAGAAACTGTTTTAAGGTAAAACTCACCACTTGCCTTCTGCACTAAATCCATTTATTATTGTTCTGTCTAGATGGACGATACTGGATTCTTCCAGGTAATAAATATTAATCAAGAGGATGACTATGAGCCATTCTTGGAAACATTTCGGCGCTGTACTCTTTGTTATGGTAAGATCCATCTGTATTAGAGAAAAAACACTATTTAGTGCTGCCTGGCAAAAAGCATGAGAGAGACTGGCAAAAGCATTTAGACAGACATTTGTGTTTCAAATAACCAAAGCTGTATTTTCTGGCTTTATTTCTTCTTCACAAGTTAATCCCTAAAAGGAGGGAACTTTCCAATGACTAGCATGTTGATCATGATTCACAACCAACTGCTTATCTCCACTATCTGTGCTGCCAAATTTTTCTTAGGAGGAAATGTACTCGAATGCATAAAAATTAGGGCTGTCAGTTAATCGCAGTTAACTCACGTAATTAACTCAAACAAATTAATCGCGATTAATCACAACAATAGAATACCAATTGATATTCCTTAAATATTTTGGATGTTTTTCTACATTTTTAAATATTTGATTTCAATTTACAATACAGAAGACGGTGTATAGTGCTCACTTTATATTATTATTACAAATATTTGCACTGTAAAAATGATAAAAGAAATAGTCTTTTTCAATTCACCTCATACAAGTACTATAGTGTAATCTCTATTGCAAAAGTACAACTTACAAAATGTAGATTTTTTTTTTGTTACATAACTGCACTCAAAAACAAAACAATGTAAAAGGAGAAAATGCTGCCCTCTTCTTATTTACAATGTCACCTGAAAGTGAGAACAGATGTTCACATGTCACTGTTGTAGCTGGCATTGCAAGGTATTCACGTGCCAGATATGCTAAACATTTGTATGCACCTTCATGCTTTGGCCACCATTTTAGAAGACATGTTTCCATACTGATAATATACCATACCATGCTGATGATGGGTTCTGCTCGATAACAATCAAAAACAGTGCGGGCCAACGCATGTTCATTTTCTATTATCTGAGTCAGATGCCACCAGCAGAAGGTTGATTTTCTTTTTTGGTGGTTCGAGTTCTGTAGTTTCCACATCGAAGTGTTGCTCTTTTAAGACATCTGAAAGCATGCTCCATACCTTGTTCCTCTCAGATTTTGGAAGGCACTTCAGATTCTTAAACCTTGGGTCGAGTGCTGTAGCTATCTTTGGAAATCTCACATTGGTACCTTCTTTGCGTTTTGTGAAATCTGCAGTGAAAGTGTTCTTAAAATGAATAACATGTGCTGGGTCATCATCCAAGACTGCTATTACATGAAATACATAGCAGAATGTGGGTAAAACAGAGCAGGAGACATACAGTTCCCCCCTCCCCCAAGAAGTTCAGTCACAAATTTAATTAACAAAATTGGTTTTTTTAAACGAGCGTCATCAGCATGGAAGCATGTCCTCTGGAATGGTGGCCGAAGCATGAAGGGACATACAAATGTTTAGCATATCTGGCACGTAAATACCTTGCAACACCAGCTACAACAGTGCCATGAGAACGCATGTTCTCACTTTCAGTTGACATTGTAAATAAGAAGAGGGCAGCATTCTCTCCTGTAAATGTAAACAAACTTGTTTGTCTTAGCGATTGTCTGAACAAGAAGTAGGACTGAGTGGACTTGTAGGCTCTGAAGTTTTACATTTGTTTTTGAGTGCAGTTATGTAACCAAAAAAAATCTACATTTGTAAGTTGCACTTTAATAACAAAGAGATTGCACTACAGTACTCAAATGAGGTAAACTGAAAAATACTATTTCATTTATCATTTTTACAGTGCAAATATTTGTAATCAACAATAATATACACTGATTTAAAATATAACACAAAATACAATATATGAAAATGTAGAAAAACATCCACAATATTTAATAAATTTCAATTGATATTCTATTGTTTAACAGTGCGACTAAAACTGCGATTAATCGCGATTAATTTTTTTTTAAGCAACCGCGTGAGTTAACTCTGATTAATCAACAATCCTAGTAATAAGGGCTACTCTTGTGAGGAGCGGATTATTTCACAGGATCAGTCCCTTAGCTTTCTGATTTTAATTATACATAACTTTCACAGATGTAGAAGATGGTTGTTAATACTTTAAGTTTAGGCTCTTTAATCCTCTCCGGAACTGAGAGTTCAGACGCCGTTTCTTTTGTCACACTTTCAGTTTCTTAAAGAAAGAAGTACAAACTAATTTTCCGTTTATTTGCAGACAAATGTAAACCAGATGAGTTTTGTGAACGCCGCAGATTCCGATCACCACCGACATATGTGGATGCTGCTTTCATTTTGGATAGCTCACAGAAAATGAGTAGTGCCGAATTTGAGAACGTGAAAAACTTCTTGAGCAGAGTACTTGATAACTTTGACATTTCCTCTGAGCCAGAGACTTCTTCCACAGGTGATAGGGTGGCTGTGGTAAGCCATGCTCCACCAGGTTTCAAACCCCGAATGGGGCGGAACCCTGTAAAGAAAGAATTTGACTTTGTCACCTACAAGAAGAGACAGTTAATGAAAAGACATATCCAAGAATCTGTTCAACAGCTGAATGGAGCAGCTGCTCTTGGCCATGCCATACAGTGGACAATTGATAATGTTTTCTTAACTGCACCCCACTCCAGACAACACAAGGCTATTATTGTTATATCTGCTGGAGAAACAAGTCAGTGGGACAAAGACATATTAAAGAAGGCATCTCTGAGAGCCAAGTGCCAAGGATATGCTCTGTTTGTAATTTCATTAGGACATGTATATAACGACAAGGAATTGGAAGAGATGGCTAGTATTCCCATGGAACATCATTTGATTCAGCTGGGCAGAGTTCATAAGCCTGAACTTGAATATGTAGTGAGGTTTATGAAACCATTTGTGCATCTCCTCAGGCGTAAGTTATTATATTAATGCTGTTTCATTGTTCTTCAGTGAATGTCCAGCAACTCATGAAAGAGGTTAGGTTGATAACCTTGGACATTAGTCTTCCATAGATTCACAAATGTGTTTAGCATGGAGTTTTCAATGCAGGTTTCCCATTCCAAAGTCCCTTAGTTCTGTCCTTAGTAGATCAAGTTAAATACTTAAGGGGTAAAAGAGTGGTTTAAGTCCATGCTTGATAGTCTTAGTTCCATGCTAGGAACGAACAACACTGGTGATCTCAATAGGTTTTATGATGGGAAATCTCTCTACTAGGAATTGAACTAAGGCCACCAACCTTATTTCACATAGACCACCTAACAACTATCAGATGGCAGTGACTTTAGGTCACTTCTAGCTTTTGCCACAGATTGGACCAGTGACCTAGGTTGAGAGCTTGATATCCTATTATCAGTTCCCTGGGCCTTCCATTTATTCAATAAACAGAAAAAATGCTGACCTAGTAGTAGATCAACACAGTGATATGTCAGAAAAGTTGTTGTGATCTTGGATCACTTGACTACACATCAGAAGAACCTGCAGATGGGGGATGTATTTAGTACAATCTATGCTGCTTACACATCGCAGCAGCCCTTGCAGACCTGCAGATGGAATGATACTGGAGGAGACTACAGAGCATAATTGGACTATCATCGTGAAGTCCTCACCTTAACATAGACACATTTGAATTATTTTTAGATCCCTAGGCAAACGTAAGCCTTTGAGAACGGCTGAATTGCAAGGGTGAGAGAACTAATGTACTATAAACTAATCATAGCTTCTAATGGCCTTATGGTGTGAATGTGTCTCAAAAATGGTGCCTATGCATAAAGAAACAGAAGGTATTTAAACTGAGTTTGCCAATAGGCTCTCATCTCAGGGGCTGCATGTGCCCCCATGCCACTCTTCTGATTCTACCTCTCTCTCTCTCTTTCAAGTCAGCATTTTAAAACTGTACTGGGAGGATGGGCAGAGCGGAGATGAGGGGGTGTTGTTATGATAGAAAGCGTTAATGGCAGCCATCAAAGAGTTCTTTGATTTGTACACAATTACAGAGGCGCTTGAAGCTGCTAGGTCTACAACTAGATGCCAGGGGCTACATGTCATTCCCCCCATCCCCCTTCTGATTTTTTCCCCTTCTGATTTTCACCAAAATCAGTAGGACTCTGCCCATTGTTGCCTTGATAAATCCATGGAGGATAGGTCCATCAATGGTTATTAGCCAGGATGAGCAGGGATGGTGTCCCTAGCCTCTGTTTACCAGAGGCTGGGAGTGGGTGGCAGGGAATGGATCACTTGATGATTACCTGTTCTGTTCATTCCCTCTGGGGCACCTGGCATTGGCCACTGCTGGAAGATAGGATACTGGGCTAGATAGACCTTTGGTCTGACCCAGTATGGCCGTTCTTATGTCTAGACCATTTCCTGAGATTTTGGAATCGCTTGGCTGTGACATCCAAAAGTTTGTGTTCCATCCAAACAGAAATACCATCAAGCTGAGTATAAGCCCTTGCAAGCTCTGCCAGTAATTTGTCTTACTGCTTTCAGTATTTAGTACAACCCTGCTGGGTGAATGAAGATACGTGGGGGCAGAAGAGGAAAAGTTGAGTGAAAACTGTTTCAAATTCCACTGAGTTGGTACATTTTGTTACTACATCTTGTTTTCTTGACAGGTGCAAGCAACAAATATCCACCAGTAGAGCTCAAGAGAATTTGTACCAGAGCTCGCTCTCAGAAAGACCAACATGTGTGAGTCCAGACACTTATTTTATTATGACTTGTTTTTACATATGGGCAAATTGATGAGTTCTCCTGGGTAGGGATTCCTATCAAAGGTTCTGAACCTGCAAACGCTCACAGATGTGCTTCACTTTGTGCATGTGAGTAGTTGTTTGGGGCAGTAATTTCATGTTCTGCCATCAAAATTATCGGTCGTTTAAAACAAAATTGAAAACTATAGAACTGCAACAAAGATTTTAAAACGTTTTCATTAAAACCAGATACAAAACTCTCCTCCTGCCTGATTTCCGCTTGTCCTGCAGAGCTCATTTGTGCAAAGCACCACCTGCCCCAACACCAGTGGTTGATTGTTTGGGGGGTACGTATTGTTCCAGATCTTAGGGCTTGTCCACATGAACTTTTAGTTTGCAGCAGGCTGTGGTGTAAATCTGACCTTCACTAGCCCGCTATTCACTGTCTGTGTAGACCTTGCTGATGCACACTAACAGTTCCTTAGCGTGCTTTTAGCTACTCTAAGTGCACTAGCGAACTGTTAGTGCACAGCAGCAGGGTCTACACAGATACCTACTGCAGGGCAGGGTAGATTCATACCCCAGCTTGCTACAAATGGTGAAGACGAGCCCTTATTGAAATCTGAATACCTCTTCCCTGAGATGTTCAAGTCTTAACTCAACCTAAGGAAAACAGAGGAAGTTAGCTAATACCAGCTATTTTTGAGTCGTCCTGCCAGGCCAAAATGTTTCCTGTTCTTTTATCCCCAGTGCTATCCTAGATGAGGATTGGTCAGGAGGTGATGCCATAGCTGATGCTGAATATGCTGTTTCTGGGCATGCAACACTAATGTTCCAGGATGACATAAGCGATGGTCCTCTAAACACCAACAGTTTTGCCAGCAATACACATCAATCCTTGGTAACTACCGACATAATGGAGAATGCTGCCAAAACACACGGAAGGGAAGATAACGTAAGTGTGAGGGTTTAACCCCAGCGTCACAAGGCAGCACGGCCTAGCGGCCAGAGTCCATAGAACTGCCCCTGGTTACTGCTGGCTCAGCGGGGGGGTCCTACCGAAACACGCTGAGGCTTACCGGGGGCAAGGTACCAGTCCATCACCCCCCCTTCGGCTGCCAGCCCAGACTGAGCAGAGTTCTCTCCTTTTATACTCACTGAGTATTTGGAGCATGCCCAGTATGGGTGGGGCGGGACTTCCTCTGTCAGAGCTACTTGTCTGCCGCTGCCGGGGCTAGTGCGGGGCGGGGCTGCCCCATCACAGTGAGTTATGTCTGATGTAAGGAAAGGAAGGGGGATGTCTGCTTAAACCTCACTGAGCAGGGTGGAAGGTTTAACCTTTGGAACCCTATGGATGACTTCACACCTTCTAAGAAAATTGAGCTGAGGTAAAGGAGCCAAATATACCAGCTCTTCTCTGTCTCCTCCTCCTCTTCCTGCCATCAACCTAACCTCTTTTCTGCCCTCTGTAGAATCACTGATTCAGCACCAGCATGACAGGAAGAGGGCTCCTGCACAAGCAGGAAGAATTTCCTGTTGCCACTTACCTTCTCCGTCAGTTAGCCTCCAAGCACAGAGCTGTTTCATGGCTCCAGGCCCATTCTAAGCTACCTTTAGCTACACATGATCCTCTTAGTCGCCCTCCTGTGGCTGTTTCCCAACATGAGGTGGGACAGCCTCTTATGTGGTTCGACCATGGCCTCCTCTTACCCCAAACCCAAATATTCTCACTGAAACAAGCACCCTCAGTAAAATATTAAGACCTGGTCCACCTGAACTGTTGTGACCCTTCAGAATGAACTAATATTGAGGATGTGAACACGATCGTGTTCAAATAATAATACTAAGCAAGAATGCCTAGGCTCATGTATTATAAACACAATTAGGATTTTGGCTGGATCTGCAGCCACTACAGTTTACTGGTCATCCGCACATTCTGTTCTCAGAATGCTGTGAAGGGAGCTGCATACAAAGGCTCATGGATCAATATTATGGCAGTTAGAAGAAGTGGAAATAAAAATATTCTTGTAAAATATCTAGCAAATTGAAAAGCAAATGGCTAGCATTCACTACTGCTTTCCAGCTCCCTTCACTACAATGCTTAGCACTTACACAGCATGTGTCATCTGCGTGTCTAAAATTCTCTACAGGAGCAAAAACTGTGATCTCCTGTTAATGGATGGGGAAACAGCCCGAAGAGGTTAAGGCTCCCACTTTCAAACTTGGCTGCCTGAAGTTAAGCACATAAATAAAGTGACCTAATTTTCAGAGGTACTGCACATCCACTGCTCTGATTGACGTGTTTCTGAAATATTTTTGTTTCCTTCGTGGCCCTTGCATATCCTTTGAAAATAGCTGTAGGAGATTTCCCTGGAGTGTAGTGTCAGGTACTGTTGTGATGGGGATTGAATGGATGCTCATTTGCAACTGCATCTCTACTATGTAGCACACATGCATCATCTTTCTCTGAACGTATTAATTTTATAGACTCCTTTGTTGTGTAGCGCTTGTTCACATCCTCAGACATCTCCTCCTCCCCTATCCCCATGATGGATATAGTCCATTGGTTTTGTTCTCAGAGGTGGAAAGCCTACCATAATTCCACATTTTTGCCAACTGCAGAAGCAGTGTATGTAGTTTGGGGACTGGGGGGATTGGGTTCAGTCTCAGGGAGAAGTGAGGGCACTAATAGAGCCACTGCATCTGGCCATCTTGCCGCTCCTCCTGGCAGAGGAAAGACTGGCTTCATCAGCTGGCTAGAGACTTCTTCCCATCCTGGCCCTTTTTGAGAGGCGCCATAGCACATGCTCAGGCTGTGGCAAGAGCCAAGATTTGGCCATCACTCACTGTTTTGAAAAGATATACTCTACCTTAATACAATGCTTATAGGAAAAAGAGAAAAGCAATGGTATTGAAAACAAGCCTTTTCAATCCTCTGTATGGACAGTCTCATCCTAAAGAGAAGGCCCTTTTTGTTTTTGTTTTATAGATGGCTGGAACCAAAGCGTTTTAAACAATGAAATGGTTAAATATGGCATTGGGCTGAAGAAACTAACTATGCTGCATGGTTCTGACCTATAAAAATTCCCGTCTCTGCCTCCTACAATGGTTTATTGGTGGAAATCATGGAAGAAATGTGGACATGATCTGTGAGATACAGAATAATTTTATTCCTTTAAGAAATGGACAAGACTGTATTTTACAAAAACTTGAATATCTCTATCCCTATGCACGTAGGGTCTGCTCCTGTATAGTACTGAATGTGGGAGGTGAGGACTTCAGAGGGAGGTGAGGACACTTGGAAATTAACAGGGTCAGGCCCTTAAGGAACTGTCTAGTCTCCAGGTCAGTTGTGCTTTGTTGGAGTTGACTGGCAAGAACTGAGGCATGAATGTGTGTGTAACACTCTCCTCTTTCAATGAGTAAACTGCAGTGCAAATTCTTTTCAGTGAAACTTTACTTTCCATAGTCCTTCTACAGGTGTAAGTTGCATTGTGTAAAGATAGGAAGAAGGCTTATTAGTCACTGCTGTGCTTTTCCAGGTAGAGTAACTATGCAATTGGTGACTGAATTACTTCTTTTAGACCAAGGAGAACTCTAAAAGAACAGCGTGTCTTTAACATGGAGCATCTCGTCTGCCTTAAAACAAAACAAAACACCAAAGTCATAAGCATAGGGCTTGTAAAAAATACGTTCCAATGTAT